ATATATATAATGCACTAAAAGGCATCTCTCTAACATCTATAAATATAAATATTAGTGTATTATAGTTTTCTTCTGCACTCAACAATAGCAAAGCAAACTCTTACTTTAATAACTACTTTGAAATATGTTTTCAGTTTCAACATTTCTCCTGCATATGCATATGTTTCTATATTGCTTGTAATATTTATCATTATTGCAGCATTATACAGGTTTGTTCTACCCTGCTCTGATTAACATAAAAATTCCTTTAACAGTTGACGGATAACTTGAATTCTCTAAATCTGAAGGACATGATGCAGAATTTTATACTCTTATATATTTTTTTTAAACCATTGTATTGCCATACACAAAGAATTATCTCTAAGCGAATGAAGCTAGCATGTTTTTAAAGGTGACATTATGTGAGTAATGTTTTAAAGAAGGCCGTAGTCTGCAGATTTGATGTTGGTGTGAATCATGACTTGTTCTTCTCCGATGCATATTTTGAAATGAATCTGCAGTTTCTCCTTGCAGACGTGTTAGAAAACAATCTTTTGTTTTTCAGTGTGTCAATTACAAAGCTTTGACAGTTGCTAAAAAGGGCGTCGTGATTTCTGCAGGTGCAACCCTTCAGCTGTTGTTTGCATTTTTTTTTCCAGTTACATCATGGATCTGTTGATGTTATTGTTGGATGGAATCAATCTTGTTTTTTTCCACATTAGGAAAGCTTTAGGCCGATTAGTGACATCAAGATGCAAGAATTGTGTTGTATTTACAGCTTAAAAAATGCGATCAGTAAACTTTGTCATCTTTGGTTTAACTTTATTTCTGCCTTGGCAGTATTTGAAAATCTCTCCAAAAAATGTAACTGAAAAAATTAGTTGAATCTTAAATATAAGTAAAGTGTGTTATCATTACCTACTCGGTTTTATTAGATGCAGCCACCCTTTTTTTTTTTTTTACTGTATCTCCATGGGAACCAGTAATGTTTGCCAACAGGCTCAACCTGATTGGTCACTTTATTCTTTTTCTGTACCGACTGAATTTGAGCCCTGAAGGAAGCAGAGACTATAGCCGATTATGACTTTTACTTTGTACCGACAAACTCACAGTTCGTTTAGTAATTTGTTAAAAATGCATTTGACAAAGTAATAAGTCTCTCCCCCAGAAAATACAAAAAACAAAATAAAGTGGAAAAATCAAACTCTAGACCAGAGGCATTTTGGATAACACTGGCTAACATTGTTCTCAGGGTTGCCATGGCTACAGTATAGGTGACCTGGGTAAAAGCCTTTTCAGAGTCTGAAGAATGTGATTCCTCTAATATAAATCCTGCTGACTGGATTTATCCTCTTTCTAACAGTTGGGGGAGAAAAAAGCAAATTCTTTACTGTCGTTTGAAGCGATGTTGGACAAGCTTATATCCTATATTTTTTCTATTATTGTTTATGTGCTGATAAGTATCCAGTTGATTAAAACTGCTTCAAATCAATAGCACAGGGATGCTGTTGTTTTTAGCATTGGGAACATTTCTCTTCAGTTTTCTCTATTATGGCACAGGACCTGTAGGAATCATTTAGGTGTTGAATAATTTGGATAAAATGATCCTAAAGATGTTTTTCACCATTATGTTTTTCTGATACAGCTGAATATCTACAGATTTTCCTGTAATGAAACATTAGCGCTTATTATCATTTTTCATTTTTCCCAGGAGGGTGCTGGAGGACTGTGGGATTCTGTGAAGAAAGGTGCTGTTGTCATTGGATCCGGAATATTATTCTTGGCTGCCTTTGGCAACTCACTGACATGGTACAATCATCACAGAACAAGCAGCCAGCTACTAACGCACCGAACATGGTTGCAAATGGTTAAATGTACAATGAAATAATAGAATGGCAGGGAGTTAGCAACAGAAAGGAAATGATTGGGAGGGGTCAGGACTGGAAAAACTAGAATGGAGAGCACCGGGTTGGTCAGTTTTACATGAACTGGCTGCTACAAGATTATACATAACAAGATAGTGAGATAAGAGGCATACATGCATTGATTTTATTGAACTGTGATTCAGAACCACATGGAATTCTATTAGCAAAGGGAAGGTTTTAACCACTCACAGCAAAACTAAGCAAATTTAGTAGCAAGTATGGCTTATTTTTCAATGTTAAAAGGTTTTTAAGTTGGGTTAGGAGTTACACTTTAGATTTTGGCTTTTTTATGGTCTTTATTTTAAAAAAAAGTTAAAAAAAAAATACTAAATAATGATTATCTTTATCGACTGATCTGCAAGGTTAATATAGTGATACTTTTTTCAGCCATTTTGCATGGTCACGTGTAACAGAAGCAGAAAGCTTCTCTGTTATAAAGCCATTTGCAGGTGCAGGTGTATAGACAAGACAAAATATGACATTGTGGGGTTTGATTGGTTATGTAATATGACAAGCTGAGACAAGATCTGACTAAACGCTATGAGATCTCACTCAGCATGTCGAGGCAGGAACGTGTTGATTGCAAGTGAACTGGCAGGTGCATTACAATGTTGGCATACAAGTGTTAGAGTAGGATTACTTTCCTGTAACCTGATCAGTATTTTTCCTGTTAGTATAGGAATAATTTACCTTTAGAATAAGAACTACTAATGTTGGCATTTAGCATAGTGTTTCCCTGTTTGCCCAGAAATGGCATGTAAATTCTAGTATAGGAACAATCTTTTTATATTAATTCTTTTTTCCTGTTTATTATTAGATTTTTTTTCTTTCTATGTTCAAACATTATTTGGAAACTTTTATTGGAATATGTAATTATTAGTTAATATCTATTTAATATTCTATTACTATTGAAATACTTTCAAAACCGTTGTTAGTAATAATTGCATAAAGAGGTTAGCCATACATTTGTCTCCTGATATTTCATTTACTTATTTTAGGTTTTTAAAGTTGTTCTTTACTATTATGCTATTTGTCATGGATACCATTTTAAATCTAACTGAGAAAATAAGTTTTTCCAAAATCAATTTTCTGGCTTTGGTTGAAAATTTAAAGCTATAAGGCAAGGCAATGCAAGGCAAGGCAAGGCAAGGCAAGGCATCTGTATTTGTATGGCACATTTCAGGAACAGGGCAATTCAAAGTGCTTTACATAAAATCAGTTAATAACACTTCAGCTGCATAAATGGGAGCTTTGAAACGATAATATTAATTATTGAAATTCATAGCGAGCAGGGTCAGTATTAGCCAGAGGATAAAATCATACACTTTGATGTAAATGTATATAATATAAATGTTAAAGCATAAATCAACCTTAAAACACAACTGAACCCTTTTACTGTTTATGTAAATTCTAATGTGGGCTCAGCTGCTCTTTTAGCTGCTTTATTAAGTAAATAAATAAATTTCTTTTGTTTGTACATCTATTTGTTTTAGGGTACGCGTTATTTAGTAGTTTTCTTTGGTTGTCATACTATTGATTTTTAGTCATTCAATAAAAAATGTTGTTTGTCAGGATTTAAGGTTTTACTATTGAACTTTTCCTTCAAATAAAAAATTCAAAGGTTTAACTTTATTGTTAATCTTTTTATAAATAAATGTTGTCTTTATAAGTGGTTTTCAAATTACATTACAGTTGATCTTTATGGTGTGACTACTTGCTAATGTTTTGATTTCTAAACTGGATTGAGTTTTGCTCATAGCTGAAATAAATTAGCATGATAGTTGAGGTATGTGCACTTTTATAAAAAAAAAATAAAAAAATAAATACAGAAGCAGGAAAAAACTGTAATGACTAAACAAGAAATGAAGTTTTTAGCAAAGTTGTGACGTCTCCCCTCAGGCACCTTCAGAGATTCTGGGGAGCTTCAGGAGACTTCTGGCAGACCTTGTGGACGAAGGTTTACCTGGCCTTTGAAGGTCATGATGCCGCTTTGTTCTTCGTAGGTAAGATGTGTGATCATCTGATAACGCCCTAACGAACCCCCCACCCACCCCCCAGTGTTACAACAGCTATTGAATGTGTTTAGCTTCCTCAGCTTAAACTTTGACCTTTTTCTATCATATAGTTTGTGTTGGTCTCCAATGATCTGCATTGATGTCTGAATCCGCTTTATAACTGAATTGGGGGTTGTATTTTTATAATACACGTTATTCTGTTTTTTTTAGGGAATTTATGAGGCTCCAAAATGGCTGCCTGCGTTTGATATTAACAGAAAAAGGAAGCTGTGGTCAGTCATGACCTCTAGTATTTACTCACTCTGTTCAGTCATGAACTCAATTGCTCCCTATTTGGATATTATCTGTGTCTATGTCTAAACCTCTCACACAATCCAAAAAGATCTCCCATGTTTGCTGTGCAACTTTACAATGTGTATTTACCGCAAACTTGAGGAAAAATTAACTGCTTCCAATGCATGTTATATTTTTTTTTTATATTTTTTCTTTATCCAGACTGCAGAATGATTTTTAGAGAATAGTTGGTTTGTTGTTCAAGCATTCTTCAGCTGATACCGTGGTGGGACTTAAATATTACTGTAATGTTTTAGCTCCAGTTTGAATTGATGGGTCTCTGGAGATGGTCTAACTTCAGTCACAAGGATTTGTCATCATAACCCTTGTTTCTTTTTTTGTTTTATTTCTGCTTGACAGGAACCATGTTGGCCCCGACTTTGGTGTTCTGGGTGTTAAATGCTTTCCTACTGCTGGTGGACACCACTGGTAAACCATCTTTCATCACTCGCTATCGCATCCAGGAGGACAAGAACACTCCAGTAGGTTCCTCTATCTTTAAAAAAAAAAAAAAAAAAAGAAGCTCAATGTTCTTAACTCTATTTTTTTCCATCTCCAATCGATATGTGGAGAAACTTCCTGAAGCAGCTCATCTCGGTAAATTAGTGTTATTAATCTAGTTCTGACGGGTCACATCTCAGGTCAGATGGGATGGTCTGCTGTGTGTCTGAGCAAAGTCCTCTCACTGTATTTGATTAACAGATGTTGTTGCACAGCGCAGAGATAAACTGATTATCTGTCAGAGATTATGTCCAGGAACACGTTGCACACAGGAAGCTCGATCACTGATGTAATAAAAATGATTCAGGTTGTTTGTTCTAATGAGCCGTACTGGTTGAAGGAACCAACCGGTCTGTTCTGGTGTCTTGATGCAGATGTAAACATCTGTGTCTGATGGTTCTTTTTGATCGCTCCCCACAGTTTTAGGGATCATCACCATGTGGCTTGAGTTCATTCTTTGGATCTCAGGGGTCCATTTGGAACCGGTTCCATCTCCTTTGTTCTTCCGGGTTTGCAGACGTCCTTCTGCACGCTTCCCTTTAGGTTGCACAGTATCTTCACAGTCTGGACCTTGACTGCAACACCTATTTGTGATTAACAGATAAAAGAAGAGTTTTTGCGTGTTTAAACTAGGATGTCCAACGTGTGGTCTGTGGACCATTTAAGGGACTTTGAAAGGAGTTTTTACGGCCCCAATTTAAAAAAAATGCTGCAAAACTGTTCTTGCAGAAAAAGTATCTGATGTAGTTAAAATACAAATTCAGATTACTCTGTCATTACTGTGAAATTTTATTTTATTTTTTTAATTTTTTTTTTTTATGTATCGAAAAGAAGGAAGACAAATCAATCCAAAATATGGAGGGCTATTAAATATTTGAAGTTATGTTGATTTTCAGTTTCCCTTTTCCAAATTTTGGATAAACAAAATCTGGAAATATCGATGCTATTAAATATTTTTAAGTTTTTGTTAAAAACTTAAAGTCTCCTGAAAACTTTGATTTTCAGCTTCCCTTTTCCAGACAAAACTAAACACTTTTTGTTGAAATTGTATGGTAGTTCTATATCCAATGAACCAAGAATCTTTGTCATTATGGGGACATAATAAAATGTTTGAGACACTCAGAGTGCACATATTTGTAACAGACACAATTAAAAACACTTTAACAAGCATCCTTAGAAATCTTTTGAAGGTCCTTTAAAAACTAGGAGACAAGGGAAAAAACAAAAGACAGATGGAAAAATATCTTTAAAGATGTTTAGGTTGAAGTGCTTTTTATAATTAGCTTTGGATTGTACATTCACATCAATTTAAAGCAAAAAGCAATTGACCTAATGACTGAGGTGAGCTCATAACATTCGGTTTCATGGTTATTTACACCCCCATATTCCCCCTGTCCCTATTGATTATTAACCTGTAATCTTTAATGACGGACGCACATTTAAAGTGCAAAGTGCTGGCTCTGAATGGACCTTGTTCTTTAACATAAACACATTCTGTTGCCGAATGTCTGACATTCAGGGTTCATGGTTTAAACCAGGTCATGACCAGCATTGAAAAATCTAAAGGATTTAGTAAAATGAAAAAACAGACCAGAAGTGATTCAAAAAGATTTTCTAACATGGTGGGAAATACAGAAAAAGTACAAAAATCCATCAAACTGAACTGTTACTTAAAAAGTGTTTTTTTTCCTATAGTGTGTGTATAAGAACAAACAGATGTATGAACTGAGAAGATATGAGAGCGGTTCTGACTCATCTCTCCCTATAGGTGGATCCTGTGAAACTGAAGCAGGCCGTGAAGACCGTTCTCTTCAATCAGGTGTTCATCTCCGGACCCATGGTGGTGGTCGTTTACCTCCTGGTGAGCTGGACAGGAGACCCATGCGGCCCAGAGTTGCCCACCTTCCACCGGGGCCTCATTGAGCTGGCCATCTTCTCCATCCTGGAGGAAGTCCTGTTTTACTACTCGCACAGGCAGGCAGCCTTCGCTTTACTCTGCTGGATGGTGGGATGATGAAGATGTTTCTGATATATATTTTTTCTTCACCAATCTCAGGTTGTTCCACCATCCCAGCCTCTACAAGCATTTCCACAAACAGCACCATGAGTGGACCGCTCCCATCGGAGTCGTCTCCATCTACGCTCATCCTCTGGAGCATGTGGTAAAGCCTTTATTTACGTCTATTTTAGTCAAACAGAAAATGGGTTTTTAATGCATTAGAGAGAAAATGCATTATAATGTCCATTTAACAAACCAGGAATTTTTCATTGTTTGGTGTAAAATTGGTGCGAAGGGAGTACACAGCTCATCTGCATGACTTGGTACAGTTACAATAAAGAAGACCAAAATTATGGAGAGTTAAACACTTTAGGAGAATTTAACACCAATCCAAGTGCATCTGGTTGCACTCTGAATTACTGTTAAATTAACTCTACATAGTGTATATCTTACTCCAGTTGTTCTAATAACTCTAAAAGTTCTTTGACACTGCATATTTACCACTGTTGAATTTACCATGAAAAGGTGCTCAGGACGTTTTAAAACAAACGTTTCCTTTGCTGTCAGATCTCCAATATGCTGCCTGTGGTAATCGGGCCTGTGATAATGGGTTCGCACATCACTACCACCTCGGTGTGGTACTGCCTGGCTCTGGTCAGCACCACCATCTCCCACTGCGGCTACCACCTCCCCTTCCTGCCATCGCCAGAGTTCCACGACTTCCACCATCTGCGGTGAGGCTTTACTCAGACGTTTAAGGTCAAGCTCCATAATGGAGTCAGACTGAATAAAGTTTAGGATTTCTATTTAATTCCAATCAGAAATGATCAGATTACTTGATTACTATCAGCCTTTCTGGGACCCATAAAATGGCAGGTTTGCAGGTTAGAAAATGGAAATATCAAAGCTATATCTCTGTCGGCTCCTCACACAAAAGTATTAGGACAATTCAGTCGTCCTGCTTAACTTATGAGTGCATGCTACACCAAATCAAGTCATGTATGTACATATAAACACACGTGGCTAGACAACTCCACATTACTACAATTCTTACCCATAGCTCACACTACCACAACCATTTCAAATATACACACATGTGTATATATATATATATATATATATATAAAGAAGACTTTTTGCAAAATGTGAAACTCAAAGTTTTTCATGAGGAGTTCTGGATAAATCATATTGACAGACGAAATAGATTTTTACCATAAATGCTAAATTTATTTATTTTTTTAAACAATTTTGGTGTAATTACTTAACTAATTTAGTAATTACAATTACCAAATTAGTTAACGATTATTACTATAATCGATTATGATTAATCTAATTGTTTCAGCCCTAAGATCAATCCAGTCTGAGCTGGTCAGTATCAGGATTTGTTAAACCTGCGGGTAATACTCTCTACTACTCATGTTCCGAATGATGTAGTAGGGTAAAAATGCTGCAGTCCAGCAGGTTATATCTCATCTTTTAATGTTATTGTCCAACTGGAAGTATTGTTGACATGTTGGAGTGACTCAGACTTTAGTTTGTGAAACAAGGACTTTAAATACTGATCTGGTTACTAGAAATAAATTTCCTCACTGAATGAATCCAATAAACCGTCTCTTCTGGTTTCAGGTTTAACCAGTGTTACGGTGTTTTTGGCGTCCTGGACCGGCTCCACGGCACCGATGCAAAGTTCAGGCAGACGAAGCAGTACGAGCGGCACACCCTGCTCACCAGCCTTACCCCGCTCACCCAGAGCATCCCTGAAACGCCTAAGAAGTGCCAGTGATCTGCGGCCTCTTGCTTTTTAGTTCTCAGTCAGGACTCAATTGATTGTAGTCATTTTAACTCAACTTTTTAACCATTCCTGCAAACTAATTCATTAACATGTTATAATCTAATTATTTCATAAAGGAAATGTTGATCATCTCCTTCCTTCTATAGTGCAGTTCTGCGAGGATATGGACCGTTATGCTGGTGTTGAATCTAAGCTTTATTTCAATTCCTAATCTTCTCTAGCAGCACTTAAAGCTCAGCAGTTTACGCTCTTCTGACATGTTTACGACAGAAGAGATGCTGACAGGAGCAGCACTTTAGAGGCATTTGGACCCAAACATGTCTGAAAGTATTATGGCCCTCCCTTTGGGGAATGCAGATGGTGTTCTGGGATGTTCTTTAAAAGATTAAAATACTTCAGAAATGTCATTTCTATGTGCTTTATTTTACTCCACTTTTTAAAGTTTATTAAAAATTTGCTGATTATTTTATCTTGTTTTTTCAAAAAAGGGAAGAATAAATCAACCCTTGCAGATAGAAATATTTGAAAATGTATGTTTTTAAATCAGGCATTTAAAAACATACATAAAAAAACATATTACACACCCCCAGCTGCTGCCAGCACTAACGAAGCCCTGCTTGGGAGATGAACCTTGCCAATTCTCAATTTTTCTTCAAGGGAACTGGACCAACACAGTGAAAGGTTGTGGCCTTAAAAAAATGCTTTTCAACAGAAGCCCCTAGAATTCAGTTAATTTCAGTGCATAAAACGCTGACAGATGACGTGAAACTGGGTTAGGCTACAGTCCCCCAAACAGCATCAGGTTAAGCACCTCCAGCAAACCGAACTATTCCATAAAATTGTAAATGATTTTTTTTTTTTATTATTTCATCCCAATTCAGTCATGAAATTTTTCAGCATAAGAATATTAACCAACATGTTTTAACTAACATTACTGCCGAATAACAAAATGGTAACAACTGAACTAAAGATCAAATTAAGTGTGTAGTGGGAGGGCTGGCCGTATTGTCTGCGGTTGCCATCATTGTCCACATGTAGGCGCTGTGCTTCATATGGTGCCTAAAGTTGAAAAGCTCAGAGAAGCAGGTTGGTAAGGGAAAATGTGTTTCAGTTGCCTGTAGGTCAAGGTAGAAAGTCGCTTCTTACACAGAGAAGGGAATAGCCCTTTTCCTTATTTTCCGGTGCCTCCCCCACACCCCCTCTTTGAAAACTACTGTTAGAGCTAGAAGACAACAACCCAAAGTTTGAGTGCATACAGCCACCCGAAAATGAGAGCATGACAGAACTACACTAAAAACTACCAAGACATGAACCAACAGGACAAGCAGCGAATCAGTAATCAAAAACAGGTAACTCTGGAGGAGCTGCAGCTCAGGTAGAATGTTTCTTGAAGAGGGTCTAGTTATGAAATCTGGCCTTTCTGGAAGAGCGATAAGAAGTAAGTCATGCCTCTGTTAGACACAGAACTGGACCAACATTAATGGACATTCATATCCTGATAAGAAAACAAAAAAATAAAGAGGTACTGGAAAAAAAAAACAATCCCAATCTAGAACCCCATCCAATCAGATTTTTTTTTTTTTGTACAAACAGGGGAGGAGATGAAAAGAAAACCAGTCTTTAGAAACCTAAATTCTGTTGAGAAAGTGGGATTTATTAACTGGATGGGGTGAGCTTAACTGCAACACTTCATTACCTTGTGTTGGTGGTACTGCAGGTCCAACTAAAAGACACTGAAAACGAATGTTTGCACGGTTCCCTTTCTTTGCATGAATGAATAACTGGATCTGCAACAGTTGGGGAGCAGGAGCGGCTTTAACCTGCAGAGATCACCAGGCACTGGGATGGAACCGTTCCTACACGGCATTTAGTGGGAATGGACCCAGGACCTTCTGAGGAAACGGGGCTTCAAGAAAATTAGCCACTAAAGGGTTAATAAAGAATGGATAACCTCTGCTTCCAGTATGAATCCCCCCCCCATCCCACAAATGACCACACAGCAGCTGCTGTTTTAAGGTTTTTTTGTCCATTTTCTGTTTTTTTTTTTCTTTATTAAAGGAAAAGCAAAATTACTACAAATTACAAATAACACTAATAGCGAATCACATCAGCCTACAAAGCAGATATTATGAATATTAAATGTTATAATACAAGATCTCATTCAAGTATTTTACATTTTTTTCCACTTTATATATTTTTTTGTTCCTTTTATCCTCATTTTCATCTTTTTTTTTCCTCATGAGAAGCCTAGGATAAGGAAGTGAACTTTTGAATGGTTCAGTTAGTTCTTATTCATATGGCTTTATGGAAACGTGTCCTTTGTATTCAGTCTCATAAGCAGCCATATTCCACCCAATCTCCAGTCAGGATAATCCATCTCTCCTTTCCGGGCAAATGGAGCAGGAAGCACCCCTTAATGTTTGTATGGGAGGCTAGCAGCAGCAGTTCAATGCTGTAAACTCCCACAATAAAATATTCTTTCCATCCAAACAGGTAACGGTCGCATCAGAGGGAGCTCAAAAGGGAAGAGAGGGTTGGTCAGTCAGTCAAGCCTGCAGCTTAAAGCCCCCACATTTCCGGAAAACCTGTTTTTTTTTTTTCTTTTCTTGTCGCCGTTCGGATTCTGTCCATCAGCTCCGAAAAAGACCATATTTGATCCAGGGACAAATGCATTGTTACGTCCAGACTGAAAAACAAAACACTGACAAGACGAAGGGCTTCAACATTACAACAGTGAGGAGGACCTGATCGGCGAACAGGCAGAGATTCAGATGATCAGAGGACCAGCAATACGGATGCATCCTGACAATTAGAATATCAGCAAAACACGAGAATTAAACTTTTTTTTTTGTTTTTAAGATTCATTAATATTCCTGTTTATAATGAAGATTATGGCCTTCAACTGATAAAAACCCCAAACTATGTTTGCCAAAAATTTTAATCAGGAAAAAAGATAAAAATTCTTTAAAAAAAACAAAAAGCATGTTATGGCTCAAATGATAGGAGGATTCTGGTTGTTCACTTCACAGAATGATGTATCTATGCATGTCAGAGAAAAGTGGTGTGAAAGAAAAAACTGTAGTGGAAAAAATGTTGCTCTGCTGACAGGCTTTGTGGAGAAGCTTATTTATTTGCAGCAGAACCAGGCAGCTGTACCCACACAGTACCAGAACTTTTAAGAACCAATGGTGTATAGGTGCAGAGCAGCTGAAGGCTTCGGTTAAAGCCAGAACGCCTCAGCAGAACCACAGGCTGATCGCCTCCAACCCAAACAAAAGGAACCAAAACCAGCTCTGAACTAGATATGGACAGAACCTTTAGGGAGGCAAACATCCCTCACATTTCCTAAATTGCTTCAGTCTAATATTTTAACCATCGGAGGAAATTAATTTCAGGCTTTTTATTAGCTTTAAGCCAGAACCATCAAAACCAACTGAAAAATCTTTAAATGTGTTTCACTTTTAAAAAATAATTTATCTCCAGCTAAACTCAAACTTTTCAGCTTTGTCAAAATTACAATTTCAAACATTACTTAAGGTAAAAAAAAAAAAAAAAAAAGGTCAGCTGATGATTTCATGATTAGTTTCTCATGTTACTGTTGGACACTTACGCTCCTTTTTTAGGTAGTCAAACTAAATACAACCAGATGTGAACGTTACAACTGATGTTCTTCCATTCGAAACAGAGGCCGCTCTAAAGGACGACTGAAAACACAGCGAGTTGAAATGAGGAAGAACTTAAAGTTATTTTAAAAAGAAAAATTTAAAGACATGTAAGGCAAATAAATCCTCTGATCTATGAACAATAAAAGCTAGCAGGGAGCCGAGATCGCTTCACTTCATCTGTTCGGTTCACATTTACACAGGCGTTGAAATCCCCGCTCCTCTGGGGCGTCGGCAGGTCCGGTCCGGTCCTGTTCGCACTCGTTAGTGTTCAGGCCTGCGACTGTTGTGTGAAAGAAGCGTAGAGGTTCCAACTCTGTCATCAAGGAATCCAGACACCGGTGGTTAAGCATCGCTGATGGATGGATGTGCAGAGGGATGGATGGATGGATGGATGGATGGATGAAGGAGGAGCACCGTGAAAGAGGTCATCTTCAGTTCTCACTTCAGTTTGTTTTGATGCTTTCTGAGGGAAGGGTGACCAACTTCCATCAGGAATCTCAGAGTTGTAACAGAAGCAATGAGGCGTGGAAGACTGTCAAACCAGACGGATGGGATCTAAAGGAAAACATGGCAGCCACAGCACCACCTAGTGGCTGCTACTGCAAACAGCCGTGAAGAAAAACGTAACAAGGAGGCGGGCATGCATCCGGAAGCAGTAAAACCATCAAAATAAGGCAACTTTTGACAATCTAGTTCATAACGAGGGGTTGAAGCAAGTCTCATCATTTGGCTCCTTAATAGTGCCCCCCTAATAGTCCAGCAATAAAATAAATCAAATAGGTCTGATGTTGAGCCTCTTAACGGAAAGTAAAGCCTGCAGATGGAAAGTTTAGTCGCTCGGTCCGAACCCCTTTGGTCCAGATGGCTTTGAGCAGCTAGGAGGAGTAAAAACCTTCCAGTTAGCAGGTTCACCAAGCGGAGCGGGCAGGGGGAGGAAACGCATCAGAACTTTCATTCTTTAGTGATTCAGCATCGAATTAAAACTTCGGAAAAGGTAAAAATAATCAATAAAATAAGATTGATAAGAGCCCCTCCCCCTTCGGTGGCACAGAGACAACCGGCGACATGCAGGCGTGGTCAGGTCGATCCGTGCAGATGGTTGGCGTCCCCGGCTGTGGAGTTACTTCAGTGTTTTGGCGTCTGGTGCGGGTTCTGCAGAGGGAGCGGGGGGTTTCTGGTTCTGGTTGGTGGGTTTGGCAACGTCCTTAGACGAAGAACCTGAAGCAGTAGTAGGAGGGGCCGGACCGGCGCCGCTCGCCTGGCTGTGGGGCCGACTCGAGGACTGAGAGGGATGGCGGCGCCGGCCGTCCCCGCTGGACGGGTGTCTCCTACGTCCTCCCTCCTCCATCGGCGGCTGGAAGCAGAAAAAAGGCAGTTTTAATGGGGGAAGCTAGTGACGGATCTCCGACCTCAGCTGTTTCCACTCACATCGATCCTGAAGTCCTCCAGACGCTTGAACTTGCTCAGACACTCCTGCAGTTTGGGGTCGATCTCCAAGTTCTTGGCTTTGGAGTATTTGAGGAAGGCCCAGAACTTCTCCAGTCCATAGAGCTGACCTGAGATCAGGGAGGAGAAAACGCTTTCATTTATTCAATAAAGACAAGGTCGATTCTGTGTCGTTTAAGTATTCAAACCCCTTAAAAAACTTTTTACCATTTCATATCCCTTACAACCAAAATGTCTGAAAAGTGTGGCATGCATTTATTTTGAGCCTCAATCTTTAGCAGAGCA